AACTGAATGAATCCCCAATAATACTCACAGCAATTTCCCACACTCACAACACACCCACAGACACACGCTCGCTCCTCCATTTTCTACACTCTCTCACACACACACACACACACACACACAAACACCAAAACATATGTCATAACAGGTGGTGAAAAGTACGTGGTGGAATTCCACTGTCATAAAATGTCACACTGCCCTCATACATTTGTTGAGGGAAGCTATCCTAAATAAACGACTTGGATCCTGGTGATGCTCCCACACACTAAACTGAGCTGTGAGAACCTGAGCTGTTTCTTCACAGTACTCTCTCTGTAAGATTTACACATCTCAAGTTGCAACTCTGCCCTGTTAGCCTAACTCAATGATGTGATTTTTTGATACACTGTATGTTCATTTGACATGACTGTACATGTATAGCCTACATTGTGTTCGCTAGTTTTTCTTCCATAATGCTGTATAAAACAATGTGTACTTAGTTTATGCTTCTTCAATAAATCATTGAACCTAGATCAAAGGCCTGTTGTTACTGATGTCAGGCCTGCTCTCTCATGACTCTATACCTAACCCTAACTATGAAAGGTATACTGTCCAAACTTTCACCACTGTCTGCTTCTGCAATCTGCTCCTCGTCTGGCCCCGTTGTTAAACTGCCCTCTTGTGCTCATTTGAAAATGCACAAAGCAGAAACAACCTTAACAAAGTCAGCTCCAGTAGCACGGAGTGATTCCCTTACCCACACTGCCCCACTGCCCCACTACCCACACTGCCCCAGTGCCCCACTACCCACACTGCCCCACTGCCACACTGCCACACGGCCCCACTGCACACACTGCCACACTGCCACACTGCCCACACTGCCCACTGCCCACTGCCCACACTGCCACACTGCCCCACTACCCACACTGCCACCCACTGCCCACACTGCCCCACTGCCACACTGCCCACACTGCCCCATCCCTGCCCACACTGCCCCCCACACTGCCCCACTGCCCCACTCCCACCCTGCCCCACTGCCACACTGCCGCCCACTGCCCACACTGCCCACACACTGCCCACACTGCCCCACTGCCACACTCCCACACGCCCCACTGCCCACACTGCCCCACTGCCCACTCCCACCCCACTGCCCCACTGCCCCACTGCCCACACTGCCCCACTGCCCCACTGCCCCCACTCCCCACTACCCACACACCCCACTGCCCACACTGCACACTCCCACCCCACTGCCCCACTGCCCACACTCCCACATCCCACACTGCCCACTGCCCCCACTGCCCCACTCCCACACTCAACCCACTGCCACACTCCCACACTGCCCACACTGCACACTGCCCCACTGCCACCAATGCCCACTGCCCACCACCACTGCCCCACTGCCCCACTGCCCACACTGCCCCCACGCCCCACTCCCACACTGACTCCCCACTGCCACACTCCCACAATGTCACACTGCCACACTGCCCCACTGCCCCATCCACTGCCCACACTGCCCACACTGCCCCACTGCCACACTGCCCCACTGCCCCCCACTCCCACACTGCCCGCCACTGCCCACACTGCCCACTGCCCCACTGCCCACACTGCCACACTGCCCACACTGCCACACTGCCCCACTGCCCCACTGCCCACACTGCCACACTCCCACACTGCCCCACTGCCCACACTGCCCCACTGCCCCATGCCCCACTCCCACACTGCCCACTGCCCCCACTGCCCCACTGCCACACTCCCCACTGCCCACTGCCCCTGCCCACTCCCACACTGCCCCAACTCCCACACTGCCCCACTGCCCCCCACTGCCCCACTGCCCACACTGCCCCCCACTGCCCACACTGCCCACGCCTCCCCACTGCCACACTGCCCACACTGCCCCACTGCACACTCCCACTGCCACCACTGCCCACACTGCCCCACTGCCCACACTGCCCACACTGCCCCACTGCCCCACTGCCACACTGCCCACCCACTGCCCCACTGCCACCCACTGCCACTCCACTGCCCACTGCCCACACTGCCCCACTGCCCACACGTGCCCACTGCCCCCTCGCCACACCCCACTGCCCCACTGACTCCACACTGCCACTGCCACACTGCCCCACTGCCACACTGCCCCACTGCCCACTGCCCCACATGCACACCCCACTGCCACTCCACACTGCCCACTGCCCCACTCCACACTGCCACACTGCCCCACTGCCCACACTGTCACACTGCCACACTGCCCCACTGCCCACACTGCCCCACTGCCCCACTGCCCACACTGCACACTGCCACACTGCCCACACTGCCCACTGCCACACTGCCCCACTGCCCCCACTGCCCTTGCCCACACTCCCACACGGCCGCCCACTGCCCACACTCCCATACAACTGCCACCACTGCCACACCCTCCCACACACGCCCTGCCCACACTTCCCACACTTCCACACTTCCCCACTTCCCACACTTCCCCCAACTGCCCCACGCTGCCCCACTTGGCCACCACTGCCCATGCCATGCCCTGCTGTCAGGCCATGTGACATCATGATTGCTCTTTTCACTCACATTGTGCAGACTATAAAGAAGAGAATGATGTGTAGCCCACTGGCCCTGTATGTCTACAATAGAGCCAAATAGAATAGACTACATTTGACTAGAATAGAGTAAAACAGTACACAATAGAATATAATAAAACAAACTTATTTTGAACGGTTGTGTTTGGCCTGAATGAATGATGTAGTGGGAGTGGTAGAAGCTGAATAGCAGCAGTGACTGTGTTGTGCTGCATTAAGGGGTCGCTCCACGAGACTGTTCTGTTCCCTCTGTTCTGCTCTATGCCTCGCCTGAACGGGAACACACGTCCACAAGATATATGGTGACAGATTTGGGCCAGCCACAGCCACAGCAGGGGGAGGGGTCTACAATAGGGGGAGGGGTCCCGAGCCCTGGCAGACAGCACAGAGCAGAGGCACAGAGGTGAAGTCAGAGGTGGTGATGGTGGTGGTGGTGGTGATGGTCGTGGTGGTGATGGTGGTGGTGATTATGGTGGTGGTGTGTGGGGTGATGGTTGGTGTGGTGTGAGTGGTGATGTGGTGGTGGTGGGGTGGTCATGTGGTGGTGATGATGCTTGTGGTTATAGCGTGTGTGCAGTGAAGGTGCTGGTTTGGTACTGGCTGACAGGTGAAATCTGTCGTGGTGCCCTTGGCAAGCTAACCTATGCTCGTGTCGCTCTGGATAGAGGTTGCTATTGACTAATGTAAATGTATGATGGTATGGGTGGTTGTTGTGATGGTGGTGATGATGATGGTATTGGTGATGGTTGTGGTGATGGTATGGTGGTGTTGGTGATGGTGGTGGTGGTGATGGTTAGGGTATTGATGATGGTTGTGGTGGTGGTGTTGTGTAGACTGTTGTACAGTGAGGGTATTAGGGAGTCAGCCTACAGGAAAACACACAGATGGGTTCTTTGTTTGCTTATAACTGTAATGCTGCTCAATCAGTTAATAAACAGGAAACATAATACACTGTCAAAACCCTCCAGTCTGAAATGATCTAAAACTACTTTGTCCACATTGCATTACATTTGAAATCAAATTGTTGTTATACTGTGTCAAAACACTTCTATGTGGCTAACCTCTCTATGTTTTATAGTTGGTTCACAGGCCTACAGCAGTTTGGTAGAAAATGTTCCCACACTAATATTCCACTAATACCACATTCTTCCATCCAAATCTGCCCTGGAAAAGACTGGCTGGCTGCTCCCCAACACAAGGCCATGAGGGCACAGTCAGTCACATCGGCAGCAGTTTGGGAACGCTGCCTTGCTGGGATTACAACAATACATCATGGTTTTTGAATTACACACAAACTATTGTTTGTCCCACTTGAATTCTACGGATGAACATTGACTATGTGAGGAGGATGGACACACACACAGAATGTACGTCAAGAGGGAAAATGTGTGTGACTCGTCCCAGATCTGTTTGTAACGTCTTACCAACCACCATCCACCAATTGTCATTGGTTTGACAAGGAGTTGGCAAGAAAGCACAAACAGATCTGGGACCAAGCTAGTCCTTTACAGCACAGTGGCCACATGTCCCTTGACGATCCCCAGTAAGAATGGGTCTGAGAGGGAAGGACCCAAGTATTAACTGTGAAAGCTGGTCATCTCCTCAGCACAGAAGCCTAGGACCTAGTCCCTTGATAATAACCCAGTAAAATGAGTCCGACGGATTTATTACGTTTCCTCCCTAAAGACAGACAGGAAGTGGGTCAGAACAGGAAGTGCCAGTCTAATTGTACTCCCTTTTTAGCTTTTAGCTGGAATTATCTTTACATCATTTAACACGTAGTTGGAAAGTAGACAAAATATAGGCCATTTACTGTAACGCGTGACCATTTGTCCAGCTTGAACCAATGACTGTAAACAGAACAGAGTAGAATAGAATAGAATAGAATGGCCTGAAGCAATTGCCAGCTGCTTTATGCATATTCATTATAAGACTACGAGTGTATTTATGAATCACGTGCCATTATGGTATTCCTTTATATATATATATATATATATATATATATATATATATATATATATATATATATATATATATAAATACATTTTTTTTTTTTTTTTTGCTATGAGTAGGCTATTCTGTTTGGTTACATTAAATGAGTCAACGCTTACAACATGCCACTGCAGTTTTTGCCATCCTATGCATTGCTGCAGCTCGCTCTCATACGCGATCCCTGGGTGGGTGGTTGCCATGGTTTCTTGGGTCACATGCTTGGGTTTCCTGTAGCCAGCAGGAGCAGAAGAAGATTCCATTTTCATTCAACATATTGAAAGGATTCTCTACATTGTACGGGGATTATAAAACATTCATCGGGCAATTAAGCGTTTATCCCAGTTTCATTTTTACTGTCTCTTGTATTTGGAATTGAATTGAATATAATTCTTTCGTTATTTGGAAGCACATTAGGTATACATTTTATTCGTAATTCTCATAGATTTGACATCAGGAATGAGTATAGAAATTCCTGAAGGCTTGACGGAGCTGTTGCAGAGCTTTACTGTGGAAGTGTTGCGGAATCAGCCGGGAGATTTGCTCGAGTTCGCTTTGCAGTATTTCACCCAACTGAAGGACAGTGAGACCACAGGGGCCGCGTTTGGCAATGACCAAAATTCGGCCACGCGACCCAGTGGGAAAGCGGTCAATTTCATCGACGAAGCCATGCAGATCGATTCTGAAAATGGAGAGGACGAGGAGAGTGACGACGAGGAATTCATTGGTAAAGAATAATAACCACGTCGAAATTCTACTCTATTCTGCAGCCAATGGAATATTGGAATGGAAATAAATAGAATGGGATGGAATGGAATTGAATCCTACAATTGCAATATGTTTGCCTCCTAGAGAGAATGTAGCCAGTGATTTGTGATGAGCATTCGAATTGCTTGCCACATTGTAACAACACCATGGCTTTGATTTTGTCTGGGCCGGTATTGCCCATATATGGTCATGCCATGGTGGCTGATTGATGCGCATACTAATGTAGATACAGTACAGCTGTCTAGCCTTTGATCTCTAACCGACAGCGTATCTTGATTTCATTTGACATCATTAGCGCTATACAGTGCATGTAGGCCACGTTACTACAGAGGGAACAAGAGCAAAAATAGGCCTATACAGTCCTCATAAAAATCACGTAGGCCTTTACATTATTACGTAGGCCTTTATATTATTACGTAGGCCTTTACATTATTACGTAGCCAATTGAGTTGATGAAGAAACAAATAGAGTGATGAAAACCTGACATCATATAAATGACCAGCCTTTCAGGCTTTTAATATGCAACAGTATGTGATTGGCATTGCACAGCTCTGTAGGTCTGAAAGCAAAGCTGTTGGGGGAAAAACGGTGTTTGTGACAGGTTAGCATTCCATTCCTCAGTGGTCGTGGAGCCTGACTGAAGAGGAAGTCTGGATGGCTGCTATTAGGAGGATAGGCCACCCAGGGCTGCAACTTGCCTGGCTAACTAAACTCCTTGCTCTGGCCAAACGCTACGTCATGCCCACGGACGTCAGTTTCTTCTTCGCAATGAGGGGGAGAGATTAATCTCGCCTGGGCGCCAGTGTAGGTGTGTTTTGCACCGGCTGAAAGTTGATTTGCATTTGATTTGGAACCAGGTTGCCTCCCGGGCGTGAGCTAGGTGCCCCGCTCTGTCCGACGGCAAAGTCGGCTCAAAACAAAAGTGATGTACACTACTGTTCAAAAGTTTGGGGACACTTAGACATTTCATTGTTTTCGAAAGAAAAGCTATTTTTGTCCATTAAAATAATATCAAATTGATCAGAAATACAGTGTAGACATTGTTAATGTTGTAAATGGCTATTGTAGCTAGAAACGACTCATTTTTTATGGAATATCTACATAGGCGTACAGAGGCCCATTATCAGCAACCATCAGTCCTGTGTTCCAATGGCATGTTGTGTTTGCTAATCCAAGTTTATAATTTTAAAAGGCTAAATGATCATTAGAAAACCCTTTTGCAATTATGTTAGCACAGCTGAAAACTGTTGTGCTGATTAAAGAAGCAATAAAACTTATTGAGACTGGTTGAGTATCTGGAGCATAAGCAATTGTGGGTTCGATTACAGGCTCAAAATGGCCAAAAACAAAGAACTTTCTTCTGAAACTCGACTCCGGGATGCTGACCTTCTAGGCAGAGTTGCAAAGAAAAAGCCATATCTCAGACTGCCCATCTTTCTTTTTATTGGCCAGTCTGAGATATGGGCGGCAGGTAGCTTAGTGGGTAAGAGTGTTGTGCCAGTAACCGAAAGGTCGCTGGTTCTAATCCCCGAGCCGACTAGGTGAAAAATCTGTTGATGTGCCCTTGAGCAAGGCACTTAACCCTAATTGCTCTGGATAAGAGCGTCTGCTAAATGACTAATTTTTTTTATTTTTTTTATATGTCTTTTTCTTTGCAACTCTGCCTAGAAGGTCAGCATCCCGGAGTTGCCTCTTCACTGTTGACGTTGAGACTGGTGTTTTGCGGGTACTATTTTAATGAAGCTGCCAGTTGAGGACCTGTGAGGCGCCTGTTTCTCAAACTAGACACTCTAACGTATTTGTCCTCTTGCTCAGTTGTGCACCGGGGCCTCCCACTCCTCTTTCTATTCTGGTTAGAGACAGTTTGCGCTGTTCTGTGAAAGGAGTAGTACACAGCGTTGTACGAGATCTTCAGTTTCTTGGCAATTTCTCGCATGGAATAGCCTTCATTTCTCAGAACAAGAATAGACTGACGAGTTTCAGAAGAAAGTTATTTGTTTTTGGCCATTTTGAGCCTGTAATCGAACCCGCAATTGCTTATGCTCCAGATACTCAACCAGTCTCAAGAAGTTTTATTGCTTCTTTAATTAGCACAACAGTTTTCAGCTGTGCTAACATAATTGCAAAAGGGTTTTCTAATGATCAATTAGCCTTTTAAAATGATAAAATTGGATTAGCTAACACAACGTGCCATTGGAACACAGGACTGATGGTTGCTGATAATGGGCCTCTGTACGCCTATGTAGATATTCCATTAAAAATCAGTCGTTTCCAGCTACAATAGCCATTTACAACATTAACAATGTCTACACTGTATTTCTGATACATTTGATGTTATTTTAATGGACAAACAAATTGCTTTTCTTTCGAAAACAAGGACATTTCTAAGTGACCCCAAACTTTTGAACGGTAGTGTATGTGATCGTATACAAATGTAAACAAGGTTTGAAATGATTACGCTTAGTAAAATATTATATCTGTTTGGGCTTCTTGCGGTCAATGCAGTCTACAAATGATTTGTAATTATGTTCCGGCCCCCTGACCATACACTCAATAAAAAATCGTCTTGCGGCTGAATCTAGTTGATTATCCCTGAGATACAGTGTGTGATGCCCTTTGCGGATTTATGTTGGTGCGACATGCATAATGGGATTGTGGGAAGTTGCGCCTCCTGGGCTTCTGTAGTCAGTGAATCTAAAGTAAACAGTCTGAGCTCATCAAAGACTGAGTTCCATCTCGCTTCAACCCCATCACATGTCTGCATCTGATTATTCTTTTATAAACAATTAGTAATGTAGCTACGGGACAAACCCTGAGAGATGTTTGTTCCAGGACAGGTGCAGTCAGGTGCGTTCAATCTTCCTGTTACTGGCAAGCCTTGACTGCATTTTCGTGGCCCGTGAGAGGACCTATAATTCCCCCTTACACAACACAACCAAACCCTCAGCTCATAATTATATTCAGAGGAGGGAGAGAGAGAGCGAGAGAGAGAGTGAGAGAGAGAGAGAGAGAGAGAGAGAGTGATAGGGAGAGAGATAGAGAGAGAGGAGGAGAGAGGAGAGAGGAGCGAGGAGAGAGAGGGAAGATAGAGAGAGAGAGAGAGAGAGAGAGAGAGAGAGAGAGAGAGAGAGAGAGTGAGAGAGTGAGAGTGAGAGTGAGAGAGGCTGGCTAACTAGCTATTCATGGGTGAGATGAGACCTCTTACCTCATGTATTTTTCATGTGAAGGTATTGTTCTTAGAGCTAAGTGTTTTAAATTGCTTTGGTTCATTGATGCTTTAAATTCATTCTCAATTAAATTTTGTTCAGAGAAGCAAAATGCAATTCAAAGGACTCAGCAGCTGTTCCCTGTTAGGAGTTTTAGGCCAACAAAGGGTGCTTGCATACCTGGTGTTATGCAGAGCCAAATATATAGTAGAGAGTTGACACAGTTTGAAGTATTATGATGCATTTACATGACACCACCAAATCTATGGCAGCCATGTTAGCTCTGCATGGGCAATATTGACCAAAAGCAGTTATGATTTACCTGGTTTGATGAAGTTATCAAAGAAAGAGGATATGCATTAAGCATCTGTGATTAACATTTTGTTATAACAATCCACAGTAGATAAATGTCCTTTTCACCCATCATTCAGTTGCCAGCTTTGATACATTTCTCAGAACATGTCCTCTGTATGGTATCACTGCAATATTGGAAGTCCTCTTTCTTTCTTTGGCCTTAGAGGAATGTAATGAACCCTATATGAATCTTATATGAATCCTAAATTAATCGTATATGAATTGTATATGAATCGTATATGAGTCTTATATGAATCCTATATGAATCATATATGAACCCTATATGAATCTTATATGAATCCTAAATGAATCGTATATGAGTCTTATATGAATCATATATGGATCTTATATGAATCTTATATGAATCCTATATGAATCTTATATGAATCCTATATGAATCCGATATGAATCCTATATGTATGCCTAACATCTTGCTTTCCTCTTATTTCAGCTCCAGTGATGAGTCGATTCATTAGAAGAGCATCAGGTGAGTGTGTTACATCTGTTGTTGAGTCAGGTGTGTTATTGCTGGGCTGTAACGAAAGCCTGAACATTATTAGTAGGCATATTATTTTGCTGCAGTATGTTTAGCTTCTACACCCAGAGAGCCTGAAGTCAGCAGTCATTCAGTCAGCAGTCATTCAGTCAGCAGTCATTCAGTCAGTCAGCAGTCATTCAGTCAGTCAGCAGTCATTCAGTCAGCAGTCATTCAACCAGCAGTCATTCAGTCAGCAGTCAGCAGTCATTCAGTCAGCAGTCGTTCAGTCAGCAGTCATTCAGTCAGCAGTCGTTCAGTCAGCAGTAATTCAGTCAGCAGTCATTCAGTCAGCAGTCATTCAGTCAGCAGTCGTTCAGTCAGCAGTCGTTCAGTTAGCAGTCATTCAGTCAGCAGTCATTCAGTCAGCAGTCAGCAGTCAACCTACAAAACAAACCTCTTACTCAGGGATACTATCTGAAGTTACGCTGGCAGTCAGGCTGCACTTTATTTTTTAGGTCCACTCTTTAGTAGCTGAATGACTGTGGTCCTCTGTAGCTCAGCTGGTAGAGCACGGCGCTTGTAACGCCAAGGTAGTGGGTTCAATCCCCGGGACCACCCATACACAAAAATGTATGCACGCATGACTGTAAGTCGCTTTGGATAAAAGCATCTGCTAAATGGCATATTATTATTATTATTATATTATTAGTAAAAATCACAGAATAATATTTTTGATTTTGTTTAAGAGTAATAAGCATGAGTATGTAGGACAGGTAAACTCTCCAAACGTTGTGGATATTAAAACCCCCTGGATAATGTAACTGATATGGAAAGATTTGACGCATTAACACGGAGGTCATTAATCATAACTGTTTCTCCACTGTGTTCCATTTGGCCTCTGCTTATAGTAGAGATGAATTACCACCGTTGCCTCTATCTTCCGTTAGCAAAGCCCAGGAAGGAAGTACATCAGTGAATTATGGGTAGGGTGACATGAGTTCAAACCAGGTGCAGGAGGACACTGTTGAGATGAGGATCAATCCTAGTCTCTTGTGTGGGAGGTTGAGGTTATTAATCCAGACAGATAGACAGACAGACAGACAGACAGAGGAGTGACTACCATTACCTGCATGGTTGGTAACATGATGGTTGGCTGGAGGCATCTAGGAGCTGATGGGCTAGGTTGGTCAACCATACTGACTCATGCCAGCGGTAAGGGAGTGGAAGAGAGAGGTCCTCTGGCCAGCGTCCTTTAAGGTCTCAGGTTGGGGTCAGGATACCAGTCTTGTTTTTGTGTGGTACAAAAGAAGAAAGATCAGTGGTGTCCACACACTGCAATAAAGGTCTTCAGACTCTATATAAAAACAATAAAGGTCTTCAGACTCTATATAAAAACAATAAAGGTCTTCAGACTCTATATAAAAACAATAAAGGTCTTCAGACTCTATATAAAAACAATAAAGGTCTTCAGACTCTATATAAAAACAATTCATATTTATTTTACATAATAAAAAATCATAGTGTGATTCCTTTCGAATGGAAAAGTTGAATTAAGGTCTAGTCTAGCCAAATACAATATAGGTTATGTGTAAACAATAGATATGTGCTTTGTCTTTCACAAGTAGAAGGACTGACCTCTGGTTCAGTTGGATGTTAACTCACTCTCTGATCTATTTAAAGAGTGAGGCTTTAATATGTCTACTAAATCTCTCAGTGATGCCACGGAGCATTGAGCAAGTTCACAGGAAGGAGATAATATCTACATGTTTATACAAATGCCACGTTGATTAAACCTTTTTTAGACCCCACACTTTAAACAATGGTGTGGTGTTAAGTTTATCACAAAGACTCTAAATCTCAGCAGAATTAGACAGTTGCTTATATGACTGCGATAAGTGGGATCATGGAAGAAATCCTGGGAAACACCAGAATCTCACTCTCACCCCATGTAGTCTTGGATCGTTAACGTGGGCTCCCGAGTGGCGCAGCGGTCTAAGGCACTGCATCTCAGTGCTTGAGGCGTCACTACAGACCCCCTGGTTCGATTTCCAGGCTGTATCACAACCGGCCGTGATTGGGAGTCCCATAGGGCGGCGCACAATTGGCCCAGCATCGTCCGTGTTTGGCCGGTGTAGGCCGTCATTGTAAATAAGAATTTGTTCTTAACTGACTTGCCTAGTTAAATAAATGGACTAGCTCAGATTATTTTGTTTAACATTTTTCTGACAACATGGCTTCAGAATGACTGTATGTCTTTTTAACAGAACATTTCTGCTCAACGCATTGCCTTTTAAGTGAATGTGAATGTCTTGTAGTAACTTTCATTAATCTCCTCTATCCCACAGTTTGTGCCGAGGCGTTCAACCCTGATGAAGATGAGGAAGACAAAGATCAGAGGGTACGATGGCCCAGACAGACAGAGGAGTGACTGTACCATTATCAGCATTCAAAATAGTGCTACTGTACAACTGAAAACAAAGTGTATTACAGAGGAACAACAGGATACAGGATGACAAGCATCAAGTGTCAAGTATCTTTTCTGAATCAGGATCTCAATTCCACTTGATATTGTACTTGATTAGTATTGGAGTTAGTGCATTGGGGTATGCATGAGTTATGGTGGCATCATGTTAATGATGTTTCCTCTCAAAATGTCTCTGTGAATAACATGAGTGGCATGTGTGTGTTTTCCCAGGTCACCCATCCTAAAACAGATGAACAGAGGCAGAGACTACAGGAGGCCTGCAGAGGCATCCTGCTGTTCAAAAATCTGGACCCGGTAAAATGAATACATATTCCCTCATTTAAGGCTGAGTGGGCCTCTCTTCCCCTCCACCCACTGGCTGCTGTGATTCAATGGACTGACATACTCTGTACACACACACACACACACACACACACACACACACACAAATACACACACACAACCACACACACAAATACACAAACACACACAAATACACACATTGGCACATGTATGCACACACACACACACACACACTAACAGTACACAGAAAAAAGAACAGACCGTAGCCCGAGGCCTGTAACTTTGTCATGGCCCAATGCACTGTGGGATTTTTCTGCCAGTTATTTTTAAATACTCTTAACAGCATGTAGAGAGGAATCAAGTTCAAGTATTCATTTATCCTACGTACTGTACTGCGATGATGCTGTGGCATATGTAATGGGTAATGTGGCCTTACTATTACAAATACTCAATACAATGTGTGTTTTCTAATTTAATATACTTGTAGTTTAATATAATCCACAGATCTTTGTTTCAGTTTGTAATGTGTTTGTTTTCTCATGTCACAGGAACAATTTTCCCAAGTACTAGACGCCATGTTTGAGAAGTTCCTTGAGGTAGGAGAACACATCATAGATGAAGATGACGATGGTGACAACTTCTACGTCATTGAAAGGTAATCCCTGACATACTGTAGAAGCAACCTCGTCAAGAGGTTTGGACCTCTTGGCTCAGCAGTTAAATGGATCCTTCGGGATGTTGGTAATGATGCCCTTTATCTACTTCCCCAGAGTCAGATGAACTCATGGATACCATTTTATGTCTCTGTGTCCAGTATTAAGGAAGTTAGAGGTAGTTTAGCATGCTAGTAGATACCCATACACTTCCAGTCATTGTGCTAACGCTAGATAGCATTGGCTCGCGAAACTACTAACTTCCTTCATTCTGGACTGACATTGGACTGAGGGCGGGGTTACTCCCCAGATTTGCTACATTACAGTATATGTGGCAATAGTTTCATTTCAGTTAATCATTTAAGCTAGGGTAAACACTATGATGGAAAAGTGCTAGTTGCACCACACTTCCCCAAACCATCTTGTTGCTCAGTGTGTAAATTTATATTTTTAAACTGTAGTGCTTTGTGTTATGTTGGAAATGGTTTGAAACCTTGTGTGCTGCTATTTTGGCCAGGTCTCTCTTGTAAAAGAGTGTAAGGGTTGGTGTGAGGTGTGACCCAGGTGCGGTGCAGGATAGACAGTAGGCAGTAGGCAGAGAAACAAGGATCTTTACTGGTGGTCCCAAAACCAGGATACAAAATAACGGACTATTCACAAAACCAAATGAGGAGCACATAGGTCTCCAAAAAACAGGCTGACAGCAAACAATACGAAATACTAACTCTGACTGGAAAAACACAATAACGCAGGGAGAACACTTCTCGAGTACCTGAAAATCCGACACTGACACGTACTGCTTCACATCAAGGAACTAGCAGAGACAACTGAGCAAGGGAACACAGGGAAGTGAGGGCATAAATACACAAGTGTATCAGATAGTTACAGGTGACACCAATAGGCAGATAATTAGTCCCAACTGTGAGTGAGGAGGTGCCTATGGTTGTCGGAGGATGACACCTAGTGGATCGCTCCGGAACTGCGACCCACTCCTGTAACAAAATTGATTTGTAATCTCAATGAGACTAACCTGGTAAAATAAAGATCACAGTATTTTTATTGAAAGGACTGTTAGATTATACAATGTGTTCTCTCTCTCTCTCTCTCTCTCTCTCTCTCTCTTACTCCCCCTCTCTCTTTCTCTCCCTCTCGCTCAATTAAATTAAATTGAAGGGCTTTATTGGCATGGGAAACATATGTTAACATTGCCAAAGAAAGTTAAGTAGATAATAAACAAAAGTGAAATAAACAATAAATATTAACAGTAAACATTACACTCACAAAAGTTACAAAAGAATAAAGACATTTCAAATGTCATATTATGTATATATACAGTGTTGTACAAATGGGAAAATAAATAAACATAAATATGGGTTGTATTTACAATGGTGTTTGTTCTTCACTGGTTGCCCTTTTCTTGTGGCAACAGGTCACAAATCTTGCTGCTGTGATGCACACTGTGGTATTTCACCCAGTAGATAAGGGAGTTTATACCCCCAAAAAAATTTATCTTGAATTCTTTGTGGATCTGTGTAATCTGAGGGAAGTATGTGTCTCTAATATGGTCATACATTTGGCAGGAGGTTAGGAAGTGCAGCTCAGTTTCCACCTCATTTTGTCGGCAGTGTGCACATAGCCTGTCTTCTCTTGAGAGCCAGGTCTGCCTGCGGCGGCCTTTCTCAATAGCAAGGCTATGCTCACTGAGTCTGTACATAGTTAAAGCTTTCCTTAAGTTTGGGTCAGTCACAGTGGTCAGGTATTCTGCCACTGTGTACTCTTTGTTTAGGGCCAAATAGCATTCTAGTTTGCTCAATTTTTTTGTTAATTCTTTCCAATGTGTCAAGTAATTCTCATTTGGTTTTCTCATGATTTGGTTGGGTCTAATTGTGTTGTTGTCCTGGGGCTCTGTGGGGTCTGTTTGTGTTTGTGAACAGAGCCCCAGGACCAGCTTACTTGGGGGACTCTTCTCCAGTTTAATCTCTCTGTAGGTGATGGCTTTGTTATGGAAGGTTTGGGAATTGCTTCCTTTTAGGTGGTTGTAGAATTTAATGGCTCTTTTCTAGATTTTGATAATTAGCGGGTATCGGCCTAATTCTGCTCTGCATGCATTATTTGATGTTTTACGTTGTACACTGAGGATATTTTTTGGAGTCTCAATTTGGTGTTTGTCCCATTTCGTGAATTATTGGTTGGTGAGTGGACCCCAGACCTCACAACCATAAAGGGCAATGGGTTCTATAACTGATTCAAGTATTTCTAGCCAGATCCTAATTGGTATGTCAAATTGTATGTTCCTTTTGATGGCATAGAAGGCCCTTCTTGCCTTGTCTCTCAGATCGTTCACAGCTTTGTGGAAGTTACCTGTGGCGCTGATGTTTAGGCCGAGGTATGCTTTAGGCCAGGGTTCTTCAATTCCGGTCCTGGAGGGCTGAAACACTTCTGTTTTTTATTTCTACCTGGTAGTTAATTGCACTCACCTGGTGTCCCAGGTCTGAATTAATAATAATAATAATAATATGCCATTTAGCAGACGCTTTTCTCCAAAGCGACTTACAGTCATGCGTGCATACATTTTTTTTTTGTGTATGGGTGGTCCCGGGGATCGAACCCACTACCTTGGCGTTACAAGCGCCGTGCTCTACTAGCCCCTGATTAGAAGGAAGGAGGATGAAAAACAGAGGTGTTTCGGCCCTCCAGGACCGGAATTGAAGAACCCTGCTCTAGGCCAATGGTGTCTAGATGGAATTTGTATTTGTGGTCCTGGCAACTGGACCTTTTTTGGAACACCATTATTTTTGTCTTACTGAGATTTACCGTCAGGACCCAGGTCTGACAGAATCTGTGCAGAATATCTAGGTGCTGCTGTAGGCCCTCCTTGGTTGGGGACAGAAGCACCAGATCATCAGCAAACAGTAGACATTTGACTTCAGATTCTAGTAGGGTGAGGCCTTGTGCTGCAGATTGTTCTAGTGCCCTCGCCAATTCGTTGATATATATGTTGAAGAGGGTGGGGCTTAAGCTGCATCCCTGTCTCACCCTACGGCCCTGTGGAAAGAAATGTGTATGTTTTTGCCAATTTTTACCCCACACTTGTTGTTTGTGTACATGGATTTTATAACGTTGTATGTTTTTCCCCCAACACCACTTTCCATCAATTTGTATAGCAGGCCCTCTTGCCAAATTGAGTCAAAAGCTTTTTTGAAATCAACAAAGCATGAGAAGACTTTGTTTTGGTTTGTTTGTTTGTCAATTAGGGTGTGCAGGGTGAATACGTGGTCTGTTGTACGGTAATTTGGTAAAAAGCCAATTTGACTTTTGCTTAGTACATTGTTTTCAGTGAGGAAATGTCTGAGTCTGCTGTTAATGATAATGCAGAGGTTGCTGTTGACGCATATCCGACGGTAGTTATTGGGGTCATATTTGTCCCCACTTTTGTGGATTGGAGTGATCAGTCCTTGGTTCCAAATATTGGGAAGATGCCAGAGCTAAGGATGATGTTAAAGTTTCAGTATAGCCAATTGGAATTTGTGGTCTGTATATTTGATAATTTCATTGAGGATATCATCAACACCGCAGGCCTTTTTGGGTTGGAGGGTTTGTATTTTGTCCTGTAGTTCATTCAATGTAATTGGAGAATCCAGTGGGTTCTGGTAGTCTTTAATAGTTGATTCTAAGATTTGTATTTGATCATATATATGTTTTTGCTGTTTGTTCTTTATTATAGGTCCAAAAAGATTGGAGAAGTGGTTTACCCATACATCTCCATTTTGGATAGATAACTCTTTGTGTTGTTGTTTGTTTAGTTCTTTCCAATTTTCCCAGAGGTGGTTAGAGTCTATGGATTCTTCAATTACATTGAGCTGATTTCTGACGTGCTGTTCCTTCTTTTTCCGTTGTGTATTTCTGTATTGTTTTAGTGATTCACCATAGTGAAGGCATAGACTCAGGTTTTCTGGGTCTCTATGTTTTTGGTTGGATAGGTTTCTCAATTTCTTTCTTAGGTTTTTGCATTCTTCATCAAACCATTTGTCATTGTTGTTAATTTTCTTCAGTTTTCTGTTTGACATTTTTAGATTTGATAGGGAAGCTGAGAGGTCAAATATACTGTTTAGGTTTTCTACTGCCGAGTTTACACCTTCACTATTACAGTGAAATGTTTTGTCCAGGAAGTTGTCTAAAAGGGATTGAATTTGTTGTTGCCTAATTGTTTTTTGGTAGGTTTCCACACTACTTTCCTTCCATCTATAGCATATCTTAATATTATTCAGTTCCTTTGGCTTTGATGCCTCATGATTGAGTATTGCTCTGTTCATGTAGACTTTGATTTTGCTGTGATCTGATAGGGGTGTCAGTGGGCTGACTGTGAACGCTCTGAGAGACTCTGGGTTGAGGTCAGTGATAAAGTAGTCTACATTACTACTGCCAAGAGATGAGCTATAGGTGTACCTACTGTAGGAGTCCCCTCGAAGCCTACCATTGACTGTGTACATACCCAGTGTGCGACAGAGCTGCAGGAGTTGTGACCCGTATTTGTTGGTTATGTTGTCGTAATTGTGCCTAGGGGGGCATATGGGGGAGGGAATGCTGTCACCTCCAGGTAGGTGTTTGTCCCCCTGTGTGCTGAGGGTGTCAGGTTCTTGTCCAGTTCTGGCATTCAGTTCGCCACAGACTAGTACATAATAATAATAATATGCCATTTAGCAGACACTTTTATCCAAAGCGACTTACAGTCATGTGTGCATACAGTTTTACGTATGGGTGGTCCCGGGGATCGAACCCACTACCCTGACGTTACAAGCGCCATGCTCTACCAATTGAGCATTTCCAGGCTCCCTGGGCCTGGAAATGATTGATTTCTCCCTCCAGGATGGAGAAGCTGTCTTCATTAAAGTATGGGGATATAGGTAGCACACAGGAGGACATTTAAATCATTTCCTTTTGAATTTCTAGCCAAATGTAAAATGTTCCTGTTTTGATTAATTTTAATAGAGTGAGTTAGGTCTGCTCTATACCAAATTAGCATACCCCCTGAGTCCTTTCCCTGTTTCACACCTGGTAGTTTGGTGGATGGGACTACCAGCTCTCTGTAACCTAGATGGCAACCATTGGGTCCATCTCCTCTATACCATGTTTCTTGTAGGATGATAATGTCTGTATCTCTCTCTCTCTCTCTCTCTCTCTCTCTCTCTCTCTCTCACAGAGGGACCTTTGACATCTATATGAGGGTTGATGGTGTAGAGAAGACTGTGGGGGCCTATGATAACCGGGGGAGCTTTGGGGAGCTGGCCCTGATGTACAACACCCCCAGGGCTGCTACCATCGTCGCCACCTCGGCCGGAGCCCTCTGGTGCCTTGTGAGTGGATGCTCTTCTGTTCCCTAAACGGTTTCTCATAGCACATGCAGTACCAGACAGTACTGAACCGTGCATATTCTATGATGGGGTAGCAGTTGTCTGCCAGTTTACTGGGAGACTGGCATTGTGAGGAATGTCTCAGTTGGCAATGTGTCAGGGATCACGTTCACTTATATGCACTCACTCTACTGTAAATTGCTTATGGGTAAATGATGCTCCAATGGCTACATTGCCGGAATGCTGTCTCAGTGTATTCAGCTGTCGAGAAACAGCTAAGAAAACTCAGTGAGGTAAAAGCCCCTGTTTTGTACAAAGTGCTTCCTAGAATCCATACTCACTGAGCTATAAACGTTGGACTGTACATTAGCAGCACATGTGTCCTTTCCCAGGTGATTAACCCCAGATGCTCCCAGACCATTATAGAATTACATGATATAATAATACTTCTGCTGATTTTTTTGGGAAAATCTTGACATTTGTTAAAGATACAGCTCCCTCTGCTGGAAAATATTATGTTGGACACAGGTACAACATTTTAAAAGAAACTCTAGGAGTGGTAATGGAGTACTGTACTAGTAAACAAAACAATCACAAATTGTGGACTGTGTGTGTCTTGAATATACACTGAGTGCACAAAACATTAAGGACACCTGCTCTTTCCATGACATAGACTGACCAGGTGAATCCAGGTGAAAGCTATGATCCCTTATTGATGTCACTTGTTAAATCCACTTCAATCAGTGTAGATGAAGGGGAGGAGACAGGTTAAAGAAGGATTTTTAAGCCTTGAGACAATTGACACATGGATTGTGTATGTGTGCGATTCAGTGGATGAATGGGCAAGACCAAAGATTTAAGTGCCTTTGAACGGGGTTATGGTAGTAGGGGAAGGGGGATACCTAGTCAGTTGTACAACTGAATGCATTCAACTGAAATGTGTCTCCCACATTTAATCCAACCCCTTTGAATCAGAGAGGTGCGGGGGGCTGCCTTAATCGATATCCACATCTTCGACAACTCAATATAAAGAAGGTGTTCCTAATGTTTGGGATACTCAGTGTATCTTTCACCATTTTTAAAAATGTATTTATTTCACCTTTATTTAACCAGGTAAACCAGTTGAGAACAAGTTCTCATTTACAACTGCGACCTGGCCAAGATAAAGCAAAGCAGTGCGATAAAAACAACAACACAGAGTTACATATGGGGTAAAACAAAACAAAGTCAAAAATACAACAGAAATAAATATATATATACAGTGTGTGCAAATGTAGCAAGTTATGGAGGTAAGGCAATAAATAGGCTATAGTGCAAAATAATTACAATTAGTATTAACACTGGAATGATAGATGTGCAAGAGATGATGTGCAAATAGAGATACTGGGGTACAAATGAGCAAAATAAATAACAATATAGGGATGAGGTAGTTGGGCGGGCTAATTTCAGATGGGCTGTGTACAGGTGCAGTGATCGGTAAGGTGCTCTGACAACTGATGCTTAAAGTTAGTGAGGGAGATAAGTGTCTCCAGCTTCAGAGATTTTTGCAATTTGTTCCAGTCATTGGCAGCAGAGAACTGGAAGGAATGGCGGCCAAAGGAGGTGTTGGCTTTGGGGATGACCAGTGAGATATACCTGCTGGAGCGCATACTACGGGTGGGTGTTGCTATGGTGACCAATGAGCTAAGATAAGGCGGGGATTTGCCTAGCAGTGATTTATAGATGGCCTGGAGCCAGTGGGTTTGGCGACGAATATGTAGTGAGGACCAGCCAACAAGAGCGTACAGGTCACAGTGGTGGGTAGTATATGGGGCTTTGGAGACAAAACGGATGGCACTGTGATAGACTACATCCAATTTGCTGAGTAGAGTGTTGGAGGCTATTTTGTAAATGACATCGCCGAAGTCAAGGATCGGTAGGATAGTCAGTTTTACGAGGGCATGTTTGGCAGCATGAGTGAAGGAGGCTTTGTTGCGAAATAGGAAACCGATTCTAGATTTAACTTTGGATTGGAGATTCTTAATGTGAGTCTGGAAGGAGAGTTTACAGTCTAACCAGACACCTAGATATTTGTAGTTGTCCACATACTCTAGGTCAGACCCGTCGAGAGTAGTGATTCTAGTCGGGTGGGCGGGTGCAAGCAGCGTTCGGTTTGAAGAGCATGCATTTAGTTTTACTAGTGTTTAAGAGCAGTTGGAGGCTACTGAAGGAGTGTTGTATGGCATTGAAGCTCGTTTGGAGGTTTGTTAACACAGTGTCCAATGAAGGGCCAGATGTATACAAAATGGTGTCGTCTGCGTAGAGGTGGATCTGAGAGTCACCAGCAGCAAGAGCGACGTCATTGATATACACAGAGAAAAGAGTCGGCCCAAGAATTGAACCCTGTGGCACCCCCATAGAGACTGCCATAGGTCCAGACAACAGGCCCTCCGATTTGACACATTGAACTCTATCAGAGAAGTAGTTGGTGAACCAGGCGAGGCAGTCATTTGAGAAACCAAGGCTATTTAGTCTGCCAATAAGAATGCGGTGGTTGACAGAGTCGAAAGCCTTGGCCAGGTCAATGAAAACGGCTGCACAGTACTGTCTATTATCGATCGCGGTTATAATATCGTTTAGGACCTTGAGCGTGGCTGAAGTGCACCCATGACCAGCTCGGAAACCGGATTGCATAGCGGAGAAGGTACGGTGGGATTCGAAATGGTCGGTGATCTGTTTGTTAACTTGGCTTTCAAAAACTTTTGAAAGGCAGGGCAGGATGGATATGGGTCTGTAACAGTTTGGATCTAGAGTGTCACCCCCTTTGAAGAGGGGGATGACCGCGGCAGCTTTCCAATCTCTGGGGGTCTCAGACGTTACGAAAGAGAGGTTGAACAGGCTAGTAATAGGGGTTGCGACAATTTCGGCGGCTAGTTTTAGAAAGAAAGGGTCCAGATTGTCTAGCCCAGATGATTTGTAGGGGTACAGATTTTGCAGCTCTTTCAGAACATCAGCTGTCTGGATTTGTGTGAAGGAGAAGCGGGGGGGGCATGGGCAAGTTGCAGCGGAGGGTGCAGAGCTGGTGGACGGGGTAGTGGTAGCCAGGTGGAAAGCATGGCCAGCCGTAGCAAAATGCTTGTTGAAATTCTCGATTATTGTAGATTTATCGGTGGTGATAGTGTTTCCTAGCCTCAGTGCAGTGGGCAGCTGGGAGGTAGTGCTCTTATTTTCCATGGACTTTACAGTGTCCCAAAACTTTTTGGAGTTAGTGCTACAGGATGCAAATTTCTGTTTGAAAAAGTTAGCCTTTGCTTTCCTAACTGCTTGTGTATATTGGTTCCTAACTTCCCTGAAAAGTTGCATATCGCGGGGGCTATTTGATGCTTGTGCTGGTCAAGGGCAGTCAAGTCTGAGGAGAACCAGGGGCTATATCTGTTCTTAGTTCTGTATTTTTTGAATGGGGCATGTTTATTTAAGATTGAGAGGAAATTACTTTTAAAGAATAACCAGGCATCCTCTACTGACGGAATGAGATCTATATCCATTGCCAGACATCGACATGACTTGTTGTTTTCATCCTACCATTAGAAATTATTGATATACTCTGTTGTTTTCATCCTACCATTAGAATAGATTGATATACTCTGTTTTCATCCTACCATTAGAAATCATTGATGTACTCTGTTTTCATCCTACCATTAGAAATCATTGATATACTCTGTTGTTTTCATCCTACCATTAGAAATGATGATATACTCTGTTGTTTTCATCCTACCATTAGAAATGATTTATATACTCTGTTGTTTTCATCCTACCATTAGAAATGATTGATGTATTCTGTTGTTTTCATCCTACCATTAGAAATTATTATATACTCTGTTGTTTTCATCCTACCATTAGAAATGATGATATACTCTGTTGTTTTCATCCTACTGTTAGAATAGATTGATATACTCTGTTTTCATCCTACCATTAGAAATCATTGATGTACTCTGTTTTCATCCTACCATTAGAAATCATTGATATACTCTGTTGTTTTCATCCTACCATTAGAAATGATGATATACTCTGTTGTTTTCATCCTACCATTAGAAATGATTTATATACTCTGTTGTTTTCATCCTACCATTAGAAATGATTGATGTATTCTGTTGTTTTCATCCTACCATTAGAAATTATTATATACTCTGTTGTTTTCATCCTACCATTAGAAATGATGATATACTCTGTTGTTTTCATCCTACTGTTAGAAATGATTATATACTCTGTTGTCTGCAGGATCGTCTGACATTCAGGAGGATCATAGTGAAGAACAACGCGTTGAAGAGGAGACTGTACGAGGAGTTCATTGAATCACTTCCACTGTTAACATCATTAGAGGTACAGTATAGATATATCTTCCTGTTTGTTCTGTAAAGCCTGGTCCCAAACCTGCTTGTGCTGTTTAGCCAACTCCTATGGTTGTTTAGCATGACAATGACCATATGATTTGGCAAGACGGCACAACCAGGTCTGAGACTTTGCTACTTTCTTTCTCTTTACCAGTAGAATCAAAAGTGTTTTTTAAAAGTAAAACCGACTGATCCATTCAAACCAATTTTAAACCAATCTCAAACCCACTTTTCCACAGCTTTCAGAGAGAATGAAGGTGGTGGATGTGTTGTCTTCTAAAGCCTTCAGCGATGGAGAACAGATTATCGCTCAGGTATTTTATATATCTCAATCTTAAATTCTAATTGATCCCACCATTTGTATGTTAGTATTAAATGTTCCCGATCTCTAACTAGAACAGACTTATTTCAGTCATTCTTTGTTATGTATTTGCTATTCTCCATTTGAACACTCTCATAACATAATCCTGTATCTTCTGTTACAGGGTGATCTAGCAGATTGTTTTTATATAGTTGAATCTGGTCAAGTTAGAATCACCATGAAGAGAACCAGGGTAAGTTTGCGTCGTTCTAAGACATTACAGATTTTTGTATATGAAATGTCTGTGAAGATTGTTTATAAAAGTAGTTAATGTACGCACCATCAAAATAAATTATGTTTACTTTGGATAGATTTGTGGGTTTTTATGTTGCTTTCTTATGTCTTCTCTCTAGACGAAAAAGGACCAGGAGGATGTGGATATAGCTACATGCTCCAGGGGGCAGTACTTTGGAGAACTGGCCCTCGTCACGAACAAACCCAGAGCTGCTTCAGCTTATGCTGTGGGAAGCGTCAAGTGTTTAGGTACTGCCTTCACTACACCGTATGTTCTGTTTGACTTCCTGTTTCAGTCCATGACATGACTGTATGTTGTGTTTTGACTTCCTGTTTCAGTCCATGACATGACTGTATGTTGTGTTTTGACTTCCTGTTTCAGTCCATGACATGACTGTATGTTGTGTTTTGACTTCCTGTTTCAGTCCATGACATGACTGTATGTTGTGTTTTGACTTCCTGTTTCAGTCCATGACATGACCGCTCCTCTTGTGTTTACCAGTTATGGACGTGCAGGCGTTTGAGAGGTTGCTGGGCCCCTGCATGGACATCATGAAGAGAAACATTGCAAATTACGAAGAGCAGCTGCTTACTCTGTTTGAATGTAGCACCACTGACATTGAGATAAACCCATGAAAACCAGAAGGGGAAAAAGACAGTGAGATGCACTATGACGATGAAGACGTGATAAATTGGTTGGTGGAAAGTGGAAAAAGTCTTGTCACTTTATGTGTAACTTTTCCATAACTACCTCTGTCAAGTATTGCTTTCTTTCAGAAACAGGAAACACAGTATGTTAGATAGGTAGGAAGAAACGTACAGGATCGATTCCAGATGACATACGAGGGTTTTTGAAGGATCGTTGACTTGGAGTGATACTTCTATTGAAGCAAAGATATCTGTGTTATTCCAAAACGTAAATGTTCATAAGTTCTGTCCTCACAACTTTCCTTTTTGGATTTGTGCATTTTATTGAATTTATCAAAATACATTTTAAGTCACTTGTTTGTATATTATTGATCACTATTATGTTATGTAAAATATAAATTGGCCTTTTCAGATTATCTGATAATGTCATATTTCTTCAAAAAATCTTGTGCCAAAGGTCATTCCATCCCTGCTAGATTATGATTGTGTAAACAAATCACGACCATCCATACCTAAAACATTAAAGTGTTAATAATTTGATGTTCTCATGTTGACATAACTTTGAGTAAAGGCTGTTACTTATTGTACATTGTACATTGTAGGCTAGGGGATACCCAGGGGAACTACAGTGGGGGAAAAAAAGTATTTAGTCAGCCACCAATTGTGCAAGTTCTCCCACTTAAAAAGATGAGAGAGGCCTGTAATTTCTATCATAGGTACACGTCAACTATGTTCAGCTTTCAACTCCCTCCAAAGATTTTCTATGGGGTTGAGATCTGGAGACTGGCTAGGCCACTCCAGGACCTTGAAATGCTTCTTACGAAGCCACTCCTTCGTTGCCCGGGCGGTGTGTTTGGGATCATTGTCATGCTGAAAGACCCAGCCACGTTTCATCTTCAATGCCCTTGCTGATGGAAGGAGGTTTTCACTCAAAATCTCACGATACATGGCCCCATTCATTCTTTCCTTTACACGGATCAGTCGTCCTGGTCCCTTTGCAGAAAAACAGCCCCAAAGCATGATGTTTCCACCCTCATGCTTCACAGTAGGTATGGTGTTCTTTGGATGCAACTCAGCATTCTTTGTCCTCCAAACACGACGAGTTGAGTTTTTACCAAAAAGTTATATTTTGGTTTCATCTGACCATATGACATTCTCCCAATCCTCTTCTGGATCATCCAAATGCACTCTAGCAAACTTCAGACGGGCCTGGACATGTACTGGCTTAAGCAGGGGGACACGTCTTGCACTGCAGGATTTGAGTCCCCGGCGGCGTAGTGTGTTACTGATGGTAGGCTTTGTTACTTTGGTCCCAGCTCTCTGCAGGTCATTCACTAGGTCCCCCCGTGTGGTTCTGGGATTTTTGCTCACCGTTCTTGTGATCATTTTGACCCCACGGGGTGAGATCTTGCGTGGAGCCCCAGATCGAGGGAGATTATCAGTGGTCTTGTATGTCTTCCATTTCCTAATAATTGCTCCCACAGTTGATTTCTTCAAACCAAGCTGCTTACCTATTGCAGATTCAGTCTTCCCAGCCTGGTGCAGGTCTACAATTTTGTTTCTGGTGTCCTTTGACAGCTCTTTGGTCTTGGCCATAGTGGAGTTTGGAGTGTGACTGTTTAAGGTTGTGGACAGGTGTCTTTTATACTGATAACAAGTTCAAACAGGTGCCATTAATACAGGTAACGAGTGGAGGACAGAGGAGCCTCTTAAAGAAGAAGTTACAGGTCTGTGAGAGCCAGAAATATTGCTTGTTTGTAGGTGACCAAATACTTATTTTCCACCATAATTTGCAAATAAATTCATAAAAAATCCTAATGTGATTTTCTGGAAAAAAAAATCTCATTTTGTCTGTCATAGTTGACGTGTACCTATGATGAAAATTACAGGCCTCTCATCTTTTTAAGTGGGAGAACTTGCACAATTGGTGGCTGACTAAATACTTTTTTTCCCCACTGTATGTCCTTTCTGGCTTCAACATCAGTGTTGAACAACTGTACCAACAAATAGTGCCATAAAATTCAAGGGATGAATTGAACAATGTGATTTCCTATCATTGCACTCTGGTATAGCTGACGTGGTGTTTACAGAGTTAAGAATCTTATTACTGACATACATATGCTTTTCTTTTACAACAGACTTTATTGTAGTTTGTAACTTTTTATTTTCTACATCAGAGAATGTACATTTTCATGAGAAAATGTTTACCCCTCCCCCCCCTAAAACATGTGATTTAAAGTCCCTGAACATGTATTTTGTGAACTGTAATACATTCTCTGATGTAACTGTAATACATTCTCTGATGTAACTGTAATACATTCTCTGCTGTGTGATTTAAGACGTTATTAAGAAAGATGGCTGATAGTTTTGAATACAGTTGGCTGACCAAGTATTACACCTTCAAGCTTTTGATTCCTCAGTACTGCAGCATGAGACACTAGTCACTATAATAATGGTATTTGACCACATTATTGTCTTTCTTGAGCTAGTTTACACTACATGGCCAAATGAATGGCCCTTTAGATTAGTGGATTCGGCTGTTTCAGCCACACTCGTTGCTGACAGGTGTATAACATCGAGCCCACAGCCATGCGATCTCCATAGACAAACATTGGCAGTAGAATGGCCCGTACTGAAGAGCTCAGTGACTTTCAACGTGGCACCGTCATAGGATGCCACCTTTCCAACAAGTCAGTTCGTAAAATTTCTGCCCTGCTAGAGCTGCCCCGGTCAACTGTAAGTGCTGTTATTGTGAAGTGGAAACATCTAGGAGCAACGGGCTCAGCCGCGAAGTGGTAGGCTACACAAGCTCACAGAACGGGACCACCGAGTGCTGAAGCTCATAGCGTGTAAAAATCGTCGGTCCTCGGTTGCAACACTCAATACCGTGTTCCAAATTGCCTCTGGAAGTAACGTCAGCACAATAACTGTTCGTCGGGAGCTTCATGAAATGGGTTTCCATGGCTGAGCAGCTCACACAAGCCTAAGATCACCATGCGCAATGCCAAGCGTTGGCTGGAGTGGTGTAAAGCTTGCCGCCATTGGATTCTGGAGCAGTGGAAACGCGCTCTCTGGAGTGATGAATCACGCTTCACCATCTGGCAGTCTGACAGAGAAATCTCGGTTTGGCAGACGCCAGAAGAACGCTACCTGCCCAAATGCATAGTGCAAACTTTAAAGTTTGATGGAGGAGGAATAATGGTCTGGGGCTGTTTTTCATGGTTTGGGCTAGGCCCTTTTAGTTCCAGTGAAGGGAAATCTTAACGTTACAGCATACAATGACATTCTAGACGATTCTGTGCTTCCAACTTTGTGGCAACAGTTTGGGGAAGGCCCTTTCCTGTTTCAGCATGACAATGCCCCTGTGCACAAAGCGAGGTCCATACAGAAATTGTTTGTCGAGATCGGTGTGGAACAACTTGACTGGCCTGCACAGAGCCCTGACCTCAACCCCATCGAACACCTTTGGGATGAATTGGAACGCTGACTGCGAGCCAGGCCTAATCGCCCAACATCAATGCCCAACCTCACTAATGCTGTTGTGAAGCAAGTCCCCGCAGCAATGTTCCAACATCTAGTGGAAAGCCTTCCCAGAAGAGTGGAGGCTGTTATAGCAGCAAAAGGGGGGACCAACTCCATATTAATGCCCATGATTTTGGAATGAGATTTTCAATGAGCAGGTGTCCACATACCTTTGGCCATGTAGTGTATTTCCATGTGTTTCTCATCTTAAATGTACATTTTTAAGTATTAAATTCAACTGTTCTCATGTGCCAGTGAAACGTAATAATATGCAGTTTTAGCCATGACGTCAAAGGATATTGATTATGTGTGTCCCAAATGTCAGCCTATTCCCTGCTATGGGTCCTGATCAAAGGTAGTGCACTATGTAGGGAATCGGGTGCCATTTGGGACACAGACATTGTTATATTTATTGCCTCTACACGATAAATTGCAAACAACCTGTACCTTTAAGAAGTAGTTCACAATGGTCCCCTGCTCTCTCAATAGCAACCCCTCTCTCTCTCTCTCTCTCTCTCTCTCTCTCTCATTAGCAACCTCTCTCGCTCTCTCTCAATAGCAACCTCTCTCGCTCTCTCCCTCACTCTCTCTCTCTCTCTCTCTCTCTCATTAGCAACCTCTCGCTCTCTCTCAATAGCAACCTCTCGCTCTCTCTCAATAGCAACCTCTCTCTCTCTTTCTCTCTCTCTCTCCCTCTCTCTCAATACCAACATCTCCCCCCCCTATCTCTCAATAGCAGACGCTATTTTTCTCTCTCTCTCGCTCTCTCTCTCTCTCTCTCTCTCTCTCTCTCTATCGTTCTCTCTCGCTCTCTCTCTCTCTCTCTCTCTCTCTCTCTCTCTCTCTCTCTCTCTCTCTCTCTCTCTCTCTCTCTCTCTCTCTCTCTCTCTCTGTCAATTCAATTTAAGGGCTTTATCGGCATGGGAAACATATGTTAACATTGCCAAATGAAGTGAAGTAGATAGTAAACAAAAGTGAAATAAACAATAAATATTAACAGTAAACATTACACTCACAAAAGTTCCAAAAGAATAAAGACATTTCAAATGTCATATTATGTATATTTATAGTGTTGTAACAATGTGCAAATAGTTAAAGTCCAAATGGGAAAATAAATAAACATAAATATGGGTTGGATTTACGATGGTGTTTGTTCTTCACTGGTTGCCCTTTTCTTGTGGCAACAGGTCACAAATCTTGCTGCTGTGATGGCACACTGTGGTATTTCACCCAATAGATGTGGGAGTTTATTACAGTTGGATTTGTTTTGGAATTCTTTGTGGGTCTGTGTAATCTGAGGGAAATATGTGTCTCTAATATGGCCATACATTTGTCAGGAGGTTAGGAAGTGCAGCTCAGTTTCCACTTCATTTTGTAGGCAGTGTACACATAGCCTGTCTTCTCTTGAGAGCCAGGTCTTCCTACGGCGGCCTTTCTCAATAGCAAGGCTATGCTCACTGAGTCTGTACATAGTCAAAGCTTTCCTTAAGTTTGGGTCAGTCAGTGGTCAGGTATTTTGCCACTGTGTACTCTCTGTTTAGGGCCAAATAGCATTCTAGTTTGCTCTGTTTTTTTTTTGTTAATTCTTTCCAATGTGTCAAGTAATTATCTTTTTGTATTCTCATTTTTTGAACACACCCCTTTTTTTTCTGTTAGTAACATTGTTATAACTTTGTGCAGTTTTGTGAATAATGTTCACTACAGACTGGAACTGTGGATATATCTGAGGAGGAAATCCAGTAATATTGGCTGTTGTTGGTTATATCTCACTTTTCATTACAATAAAGAACCGTTTTGTATTAAGAAGCTGCTACGCGTATTTCCTTTAGGCACTAACTTCACTCAAGGTGAAAATATTGATAATGAAAATCTCAATATTGTTATGCATCTTATTGTTGCATCTGTTTGTTGCAACTGTTATGGTGAACATCAACGGGTGACAACTGGATCCCACTTTACATGGACAAGTTTAGGTAGATACAGTGTGTACTGTAGTTGACTATTGATTGTGATGAATTGTTACATAATGTAAAACTGTTATAGATTGTAATTACACAATTGTACCACAACCTCAGTCGCAGTTGTACAATATGTCACATTATGTAACTGTAATTAGCTGTACCTGACCATGTAATAATGTCAATATCTCTCCACTATAACATGGACAAGGCTTTGTCAAATGAACTCAGACAATGTTGATATTACATTGTTATTCAACAAGTATATAATATAAGGGATTCATGTGAGTTTCAATAACAAAGGAATATATCGTCTTCTACTTGTTATGACCAATGAGCTGTTCCTGTGAAATAACGGGCATGCTCATTCAGCCAATGGGTGTTTGATCAACAAACCAAACCAGGCCCATTTACAGTATCCTCAAAAACCCACCAATCACGATTAGAGATTCTCTTTACTGACGTTTTTATCTACCAATAGATGACCGTGTTTGGAACTATTCGTTCCCACCCCTTCAGTAATTGCCAGAGAGTTACTTGATGGCGACAGGTTTGGTAAGTTCATAGATTTCTCAGAAACAAAAGACTAACCAATCTAGAAAAATAAGCAGTGTAATGTTCTTTATTCGGTGCGTGTAGTTTTGTGTAATGGAAAGGGTTTCATTCAACCGTTCGATGTCGAATGACAACTTATTCTACACCATTTTTTTCATTGTGACGTTTGTTGTTTTGGTTGTAACATTAGCTTGCTAGGCTAGCAGCTTGTTAGCTATTCGTCAAAATAGTGACAAAAAAAACCCCCAGCCCACTTCCAAAGTAGAGAGACTAATGTGGAGAAAAAAAAGCTTTTGGTAAAAAACTTCGAACTGACATCATGTGTCGTTTTCGCTTCATTCATTTGACAAGTTGGAACACTGGGGCGCGAACGGTGTCGTGTCTGAACTTGTTGACTTTGTTTTGCTTGTTCCTTTCTAGCGAGGTGTCAGGTAGACAAATCCCCCTGTGACCGTGCTCAAAACAGCAAGAGAGATACAATTTACAATGAAAGTAATTGGACAACGATCTGTTTTCACATTTCAAAGTGTCATTCTATGTTCTTGCTAGCTAGTTTTCCAGGAATCAAAATGTCAATAAATAAATTGCGCAATATTTGTTATCTGGCCATTCATTCGCATGCTAGATCTAGTCTCAACGTTACAAATTGGATACAATTTCACTCTAAACGATAACGTTACAAATTGGATACATACCATTTAGCCATTTCTAGCTAAGGTGACATTGTAGCAGAAAGCGTCTTTGTTATTGTCTTCTGCACCTTCTTTGTGATACAAATGTAGCAGTTACATAATTCTAATGATGTTGTAATCGTTAACGTTTCAAATCCATGTCAAATCTATTTAAACTACTAAGTGTGACTGTTTTTTCGAATGATATGTTGGGTGATTTGTGTATGATTATAACAGTGTTATTGACCATTGTTACGCAGTTATGAATGAATGAGCTCTGGTGCGCATGCGCGAAGTTCCCAAAGTTTATAAACAAGCCAGGACTGCATGCTGTTGCTGCATGCATATGGTCACATGGCAGGTCTTTATGTAGTCCAGACAGACAAAGGACTTTATTATCGAGGCTTTTCATCTCTAATGAAATGATCTCACCTGCAAATTCGATATCATTTATTATGACCATATGCTATGAATGCTTTTTTTAACCAATGCATTTTCTTTGATTACTCTCCTATAAATATTCAGCGCAAATATACATTATATAAGCCTAGCGTTTAAATAGGCACCTAATAAAAACAAACAAATAATATAAACATTTTTCCCCCCTCCATTTTGTGTTTTGTAATTTTTTTATGCTTCCCTTTCTTTTGGGTCAGGTTTTTTGATAAGGAAATTTTTTATCTTTGGGTGTCTCCTTTGTCTGTCTAAAGCCACTAGCCCTGGCGTAATGGTGTTGTGGAGATTTTTTAGAAGAACAAGTAGAGGAAACCCCAGTGGATGCTAATAAATGGGGGATTTTCCATTTAAATTTTTGAAGTCCCAAAAAGGCTCTGTCCTCCTCACATGGCTGCCCCCACACTCCCATGGAGTAGGGGAAAACGGGGGGGGGAAAGCCCGGGGGAAAGGGCCCACACACACAACAAAACCCCCAAAAAACAAAAAAAACAAAAAAAACAACACACACACCCCACATACACAAAAACCAACAAACAAAACACACTACCCACACACCCCAACCACAACACAACAAAAACACACAACAAAAACCCCACAAAAACCCAACACACACAACACAACAACCACACAAAAACCACACACACACCAAAACAACAAACACAACAACAACACCCACACAAAACAAAACCAAAAACAAAAACAAAAACAACACACACAAACCCACAAAAAAACCCCAACCCCAAAAACCCACAACACAAAAAAAAACCCAACACCCCCCCCCCCCAACAAAAAAACCCCCCACAAAAACTACCCCCAAACCCCCAAAAAACCCCCCCCACACAAACACCCCCCAAAAAAACCCCCCCCCCCCAAACACCCAAAAAAACAAACACAAACCCACCAACCCCATCACACACAACACACACAAAAAAACACCCAACAAAAAAACGCCAAACAAAGCCCCCACAAATAAAAAATTTTTTTTCCGACACAAAAACGCCCCCCCCACCAAGAGGCCAACCCAAAAGGGGGGGAAATTTCCCCCACCCCACCGGGGGAAAGGGGGACCCCCCCCAAGGGAAACACCAACCCCAACCCCCCCAAAACTCCCCCACAAAGGGGGGGGCACACACAAACACCCCAAAAACACACAAAAACACCCCCCCCAAAAAAAACAACCAAAAAAACAACACAAAACACCCACAAACACACCACACACAAAAACCACACAACACACACACCAACACAAACACAAAAAAAACAACAAAAACACAAAAAAAAAAAACACATAAGAAAACACACACACCACAACAAACAGAAACCACACACATCAGAAACCCCAAAAACAAAACAACACACCCCACATACGTAACACACAAACCACAACAAAAAACCCCACACACACACAACAACGGGACACAACACACACACCCAAACAACACACACCACACCCACAAAACACCAAAAGACACAACAACACAAAACCCCCAACCCCACACACACACAACACACAACACACACAAACACACACACCCACACACACACACACACACCCACCAAACACCCCCCCCCACCACCCCCCACAAAAAAAACAAAACCCCACACAAAACACACCACCCACACACACAACACAAAAACCCACACACCACACACACCACACACACACACACACACACACCCACACACAAAACCACACAACAACACACACACACACACAAACAAAGTACACACACACAAATACAGTTACAACACACACACACACAAAAAGTAACAACACACAAAAAGTAAACACACACAAACACACACACACAAACACACACACACCACACACACACACAAACACACAAACATACAGTACACACACACACACACAGTAAACACACACACACACACACACACACACATACGTACACACACACACACACACATACAGTACACACACACACACACACATAGAGTACCACACACATACAGTACACACACACAGACACATACAGTACACACACACACACACACACACACACACACACACACACACACACACCACACATACAGTACACACACACACAGACACACACACATACAGTACACACACACACAGACACACATTAAAATACAAACAAAATGAAGAAGTTACTGGTATGTTTGTCTCTGTATCCCTCTCCTCAGGTCATCTCCTGTACACATCTTCTCCACCAATCGTAGTTTACATTCCTACGCCCGTCCCCCCCTGGCCAGCAGTGCACCCAGCCCCTCTAGAGGTCACCTCAGGGAACGTAGCAGACGTGTCAGGGTATGACCTTTTAACCTTTCCCTTCCTGTAGGTCATTGGGTTTACTGTGGACCTTATCACGTTCCACACCTGTAGGCCTAGTGATTGGCTACTATGAGGTTATGGATGAGCATCAGGGTTGTGGTGAATTCCATTTAAGTTCAGTCACGTGAGCACAGCAGTCATTCTGGTTTCACAAGTTTAGTCAATTCAGGAAGTAAACTGACCTCCCACTTCCATTTTTTCTCAATGTACTTGAACTTCGATATGGGTGGCAGGTAGCTTAGTGGTTAAGAGCGTTGTGCCAGTAACTGAAAGGTCGCTGGTTCTAATCCTCGAGCCGACTAGGTGAAAAATCTGCCGATGTGCCCTTGAGCAAGGCACTTAACCCTAATTGCTCCTGTAAGTCGCTCTGGATGAGAGCGTCTGCTAAATAAATAAAAAAAACCTTCATTGAGGATTTTCAGGTGACTTTATGAACTGACTGAATCGAAATGAAATTTTGCCTAACCCTGCATGGGGTTGTTACATTCAAAAGTGCAATTCAACTGCTTTATAACATTGCAATAACATTGCAATAACATTGCAACAACACTGCTGTTGATAACATGTGCAATTCAACTGTTTTGTAATATATTTCTCTCTGTGTGAATGTTACCCATTCAGGCCAGCAGTGAGTCAGAGTCTGGTGTTTTCTCTATGGCCTCCTTCTCTGATGATGAGGACATGGGCTGGTCACACTCCTGGCCCTCAACAGCCTGGCACTGCTTCCTGAAAGGTATGGACACACACGGCTACACACAGAAACGATAAGCTGTTCCTAGAATTATGGCCTTGAGTACTTTTACCTTTTACTTGTGGAAAAAGCCTAGATAACATTGATAACGAGTGCCTGTGTAGTTAGGACTGGATCAGGCAACAGAAAACAGTGACACAGATTTTGTTAAGCCTGTGTTTACTCTGTTGTCTAAACGAACCTGTTTCCTCAGTGTGAGTTGCTTACCTAATCAGGTCAGTATAGTAGCAGTGTTTTCACACTCTCTGTTTGTACTTCTTCTCTGTGGTGTAAGTAAGGACATCTCAAAAAGAGCATCAAAAGTCAAGTCTCTGTCTCAATCTCTCACTTCCTGTAGGTCCAGCTGTATCTCTCTCTGTCACACTCTCACTCTCTCTCTCTCTCAGCTAGGCTATTCCTACTGTCCTCTATACGTCTGCGACTCTGCGGCTCTCTCTCCAGTCTGTTGTCTCTCTCCGAGAGCCACTGGAGGTGCTCTATCTCTCCTCTCTCTCTAGAAAGGTCTCGGGCGGAGGGGGAGGGAAGGAGAGAGCTCTACTCTCCTCTCTATCTCTCTTAAGTCTCTTAGGTCTGGCGCTCTCATCTCTCTTCTCTCTTCTCTCTCTCTCTCTCTCTCTCTCTACTCTCTTGTCTCTCTCTCTCTCTCTCTCTCTCTCTCTCTCTGCCAGTCGTAACCCAATATTTGTCTGAACCTTATCTTCCTATCCAGGCACCCGCCTTCGGTTCCACAGGGGCCCTAACAAGGAGTGGCAGGAGGCTGAAGACCTGGGGGACTCTGAAGATGAGTCAGATGATGAGAGAATGATGCCGTCCACCTCCCTCAAGGTAGCAAAACATCCAGCTAGTCCCTCCCTGTTTTTTGGTTTCTTCTGTTTGATGCGTAATGGACACACCCTGCTAATCGTCAGATCTGATATGATTGACTGGGCTTCCTCTGTGACAACTCTCTCTCCGGTTGTTGATTGGTTTACAGAGCTATGGTTCTGAAGGTCTGAAGTTAGTGGCCCATGAGGACAATGTGTCCTACGGCCAGGCCGTC